GCACCCCAAACCCCTGCCCCAGGCTCAGCCAATGCACATCCCACAGTTGAGAATATTACACTGATTGTGACAATCCCTGAAGGATTTTGGATCTATAAACTACAAATGACACTAATAAAAAGTAAAACTCATGAAATGTCCAGTAGATTCTATGAGATTAGGTGCAGTGTGACCATATGACCCCTACACCCAAACTCCCTTCCAAAGCTTGCACCCCTCACTCCTGCACCCCAGGCCCAGGCTCAGCCCGGAACCCCCTTCCACATTCCGAACCCTTGCCCCAGCCTGGTGAAAGTGAGTGAGGGTGGGGGAAAGCGAGCGACGGGGGGGAGAGGGGGGGAGGGGGAAAAGAGGGCAGGAATGGAGTGACTGGGGTGGAGTAGATCTGGGTTGATCTCAAATTCAGAAAGTGATCTTGTGTACAAAAAGGTTGGAGACCACTGCATTACAATGAAGAAAACCCTCAGTTCTATTTTGGGCCAAATTCTTCTCGTTATCTGTATGTTCTACTGTATGGTGTCAATATCAGCAGTTACCACAATTGGACTTCCACTGATACACATACAGTACTCAAATTTACTTATTTACACAAGAGCTTGTTATGAAAGTCTCCCTGCTATCTAAATGTTTGAGTGAAATTCAGTCTTAGATGGTTTGGAATAAGCTCTGCCTCAACCCAACCAAGATGGAATTGCTATTGATTGCTACAAGATAGAGGTATGGGAGAGTTGAACTTCCATCACCTGAATTTAGATGGGTCAGATATTTTGGCAGTTGATCCTGCTAGGAATTCTCAGGGTCACTTCAGACTCTTGTCTTTCTAATGTCAACATATGAAAATTTACATCAGTGAAAATTCAGATGTGGTTTTGATTTCACACGGCTGATGACTGTTGTCAAGATAAAACACTTGCTTTCTACATCTCATATAAAGATTCTTATTCCTGAGTAGACAGACTTAGTTATTATGCTTTTTAATGCTGGCTTTCCTGCTGTCTCTATACAGTCTTTCAGAAGCAGCAGCTAGCTTTCTTACACTGGTTAATTATGATGCCAGAATTATTCATTTCCCACATGTACTGCACTTCTAGATCAGTAGTTTGTTTAAATACATCTCCTTTCATGAGCTAGTACCATGTGATTAGTTTGAACTAACCACACAGTACATCCTGGCATGATCTTTTACAGGAAAAATATAGAGAATTTGGGCTTGGGACTTTTGAGATAATAAAAGAATGAAATTCACAAATTTCCTGACTTGAGGGACTTAGAGTAAAAGTCATGTCAATTTCAATCCTTTGCTGACTCCTAAGAGATACCAGTAAAGTACAAGGATGGTATAATGTGCACATTTGTATCATATACACTTGAAGATCAGGGCTATTTATTTTTGTCCATCTTTGAGGTAGAATTTTAAGTCTGTTGCAGCACTCTGGTTACAGACCTGATATTTTATCAGGGGGATAATTTATAACAGTAAATGTTATTCATGGGCACACTGGGTTTAGGACTGAATCCAGTCAATCCGGATAGCCTCCTTTTTAAGGATCAGTTTAAACAACCACCCCCACTACCACCTGGAATCAGACTTAAAGACTTACAAGCCATACTGATATTAGTAAACTGATATGAAGCAATCAATGAAAATTAGTTCCCAATCATGTCATAACTAAGTCACAGTGATATTTTAGGTGGACAAGATAAAACACTATATGCTATTGTAAGCTGAAAATGTGGTTGCACAAATTTACTGAGAAACTGTGTTTAAATGCAGTCACTTAAAAAAAAGGAAAGTATGATTCTGGGGCTGAATTCAAATTGATTCCTATTTACTCATATCAATAATGTTTCTTCACAACTGAAAGGCATTCATAGAGCTAACATTGTCTCTCTCACCGAAGCAATAGGTTCTCAGTAAACCATTGTGTATTACACATAATGAGTCAACATCAACATCCAGTTATACTTAATATTCCCTCCCTTACATTACTCATTGAAAAATAGGTTTGGTGTGGGAGGAGAGAATAAAGTCCTACATTGCCTTAAAAAACAAAATAAATTATACTATTGATTAAATTCCCATGTAGCTGCCTTCAGCAAGGGTTGAGGAGGTATTTGTTATATACAAGTAAAATGGTGCCACCTAGTGGAAGTAATAATCAGCAAGTAAAACATCTACATTAAAATCAGGGTTGAGAATTTTTTTTTTTTTTTTTAATTTACAGCTGTTTCCCCCACTCTGGGGATCAACATATTCGTTTGGGGGAAGGAGGACATGTGCATTTCACCAGAAAGGAATAATAGGGCAGGGAAGAAAGAATTATTTGCCTGAAATTCTGCTTCCTTAAAGATATCATGAAGGATTCTTATTTGTGCTCTACTGCTACTGCTGCCCTCAAGGATTAAAATAAAAAGAGATTTTAAGACACAAATGGCAATTAGGCATCTAACTACCTTTCACTTCTTTGAAGTCTCCCCTTTCAGAGAGTTCTACTAGCCTTCTGCTACAGCGCTGAGAGAGAAGAAACCTGCACAAACTGCAGATTTAAATAAAGTTTCATGATCTAGTGTCACTAAATTCCACACTGTCAACTCAATGCCATGAGTAAATTAATGAGTCCTTATAAGCAGCACACACCCAGAGTTCTGCAAACTCAGAAAGAATCACAGAGGTCGCACATTCGCACATCTTCTTGTGTAACATTCAATCAGCCATGACAGCATGCGTGCTGGCCCCTTAGAGCCAAAAGTAGAGACCACCTGTTCCAAGCAGCATGTATTTTTTTTCCTTGAGTGGGGGAAAAACTGAAAGAGGGGAGCTACAAAAAAAAAATCAATGAAAGAATAGAAAGTAAAGAAAAGGAAAGATGGGAATGAAACAGCTGAAGAAAAGGAAAGGAGAGATGGCGAGAGAAAAGCACATGGCAACAGGGAGAAGTTAAAGGGGATTCACCAGTCCATCGCAAGCGGGACTACAATAAGTTTGGGAACTACTTCTTGATGTAGTCCTTTGCTTAAATGCTCAGAACAGAAGGAAACCAAAACTAGTCTTTGAAAATGTTTTTGGAATACTGCAATTTTATCTAGAAGTTACCCATTAACTCAAAATGGAATGGACACAGTCATTCAAAGCAAATCCCTGCACAATGACTGGTTGAGGGATATAATAGGCAATCCAAATGCAGCGACTTGTACTATTGCCCGGGCTTGAGTAACTTAACAAGACACCTACTAAGAAGTGGACACAAAATATTGAGAACCACACCAACAGAATCCAGAGAAAAAAAATAGAGCACTGCTCACAGGAGCACTCCCTACTTGGACTGATAATTCATGCTGAGTAAGATAGGGAGCAGAGCACTGATAAGAGATAGTGACTAAACACACCTAGCAGTGGGAAGCAAGAAGTCTCACTGGAGTATGAAGAAGAGCAACAATTAAACCCACAGGCATGGCTGTTCTCGGTGCTTTTAAAGCACAGGGCACGTAGGCACTAACACCAGCATCTTGACACTTAACCAATTAGTTTAATGTGAAAGCGTACACTCTTCTCTTCAGTAGCCAACAGAACTAGGTTTTAAAAGACAAAGAATCCACTACCATTTATGGAGAGTTCTTTTTATTCCATACTGACAGAAGTGGTAGTACATTTTAATGGAAGGAGCTCAAGTATAGATCTGAAAGTTGCCAACCCTGCTTGAACGCTCCTGCACTAGAAAAAAGTGTACTCACTATAAATATGCAGTTTGCTGTTATTTAAGCTGTAATGTGCCATATGACCGCTACTATTTTCAGACCATTAAATTCTCAAGCCACTTGAAAATTATGAATATATTTTACTTCAGTTATTTTTTCCACTACCTATGTCACTTTATTAGCCAACACTAACTGTAAGTCTAACTGAAATTACAAAACTTTTTGAACTGCTTTCAGAAGATGTACATTTCCCAAACAAGAAAAATCAAACTTCAGTTGCCTAACCCAACTTGGCAGGGGCTGGGATGCTGCCGAGGCAGCATACTCAGCTCCAGACTTTGTAGTATAATTGTTTTTAAATAGAATTGTTTTTCAAGGTTTGCCATAAGGCATCAGCTGTTCCTGAAAGCTAGAAAAATGAGAGATCATCAAGATTTCATTTGGAACCCAGAGAATCCCTAGAAAACAGAAGTGGGAAGATAATGTGAACAAGATTAATTATTTTGGGAAAACCAAAATGTGTTTATTAAGTGCTTTGAGTGTCTATTATGTCATTTTATAGTAAACACACCCTGCCCATTCTCTACTGTTTAAATAAGTGAATTCACTAAAAAAAACCACCTATATTAGTATGATGTTAAGAGTGAAACTATAAACACAAATATTACTATTTGTTTCTGGTAGCAGCCACAATATGCTGGCACTTTACAAACTGAAAAGAGCCCAATCCCTGCTCTGGGGAGCTTTCAATACAAAGGCAGACAAACAGTGTAGAAGGTGCACAGGATATATTTTATATATATATAAATAAAAATCTACATGAAACAAACTTTTTTAAAATTACTTCTCCAGCTTATCATTGTCAGCCATCAATTTTTCCATAGGCATCTTGGCAGAGGTGTATATTCAGGAGAAACTTGAACGTAAAGAGAGTGAGGGCCATAACAAGCAAGCTCAGCAAAATAATATACCTGCAGTAGCCTTATTTTTGCCACGATGCATAGAGATTTGTGGTCTAAGCACAAATCTATAAATCTTTCTAATTCTAGCTTTGATGCTGGCTGTCTCACTGGCTTGGAAGAACCATGATCTCTCTGCCTCAGTTTCTTCATCTGTAAAATAGTGATAATACCTACTTATCCTGCAGGAATATTTATGAGGATTAGTTAAGTTTATGTTTGCAATATACTTTGAAGATGTAAATAAGTATTATACACAGTATTTTTGATGTATATTTTAAGGAACATGATCAGATTAAAATCTGATTTCAAAATAGTTTTCTTACCTGTCAATGTGGAACAAATAAGCATTACATCATAACTGATTGTGAGTGTGCCTTCAGAGTTGCAGATATTCTAATAACTGTTATAAATGTTTTCCTGAGAATTGGTTCGTTTTCACCTTAAACACAGATGGTATTGAACATCTGACATGTTGATTTATATTTTGTAAAACCTTGTTTAAAGAAAAGAATCCAGATCCGTTTTCAAACTGTAATTTTTACAGCAGAATACAGAGGATCACTGATATAATAGTCAACGTTTTTATTGATCCATCTTTGACACAGGAGTGTCTTTCAGTCCTTTTTTTAATTATTGGAAGGAGAAAACCTCTTGTTAAGCTCCTTTCCACACCTTATCATCAAGAACAATGACATCCAGGAATCTGAGGGTTAAAGACCTAATCATTTTTGGTGACTGAAAATGGAGGAACCACTCCGATGACTACCATAAAAGCTCAGCAGTATGTTGACAATCCACAGACTGTTTTCTACCTTTGCAGCCAGGCAGGAAGTTCAGATTGCTGAATACTCACCATGATAAAGAATAAAATTCCATACAGGTTAGTCCTGAAGGAATATTTATGCAAAAGTAGAATATACTCAGAACACCACCCATTAAACAAGCACCCAGAGATTAACAGAAGCTTTTATATTGTCATATGTCTGAACTGGACAGCAACTGGGCCTCCATGGTTACATGTCAATTAGTTCAAGACATTTTCACAATGTAAAAGAGTAGGGGGAGAAACATTTCCCAATAAGTACAGGTTAGCCTCACTGCAGCTAAATTCTATGGGGAGCTGAATGATGGTTTAACAACACAAATAAAAGGGGTTTTCACTCACCGTAGCTAAACTGGGCTCTTATGACCAAAATCAGTCACCCAAAAGCCTCACCTGCACATTTCTTGCATGTGCCCTGGGTCCTATCCTGATTATTAGCAGTCAATCATTGTAAAAGTATTGACACAACTGGTGATAAAGTTGCCCCACTTGACTAGCTTCTCTTCTCATTCAAGCTCCAGAATAACAACTTCAGACTGACACCAAAGCAAGTTTGAAACACTTATCTTTATTGCTTGTCATATACTGTGTAATCTTAGAGTGGAAGTCTGCCGGGCCTTCCTACACACCTTCATTACACAAATCATTGATAAGGTAATGAGTTATTTTGGACTTTGCCCCTTCTAGAAAAGGGCCTCATTTACTGCTCCTTTGGATGGATGAGAGATTTTGATTTCTTAAGTTCACCTTTCCTGGACTTCTGCAAAAGAAAAAAATTGTCAAAACAGACTGAGTATGTCTAATTTAGTGGTTATATATAACAAACTTCATTAGTCACATGTCCTAAATACGTCAAAACATCAAAAGTTGTTTTCAAAAGATACAGATTGTTAGCTATATATTCTTTTTTAATTTATTTATTTTGCTTTTCTTGGTATATAATTATGGTATGTCTTCCTCCATAACATGTATGTGTAGGTGACTGAAATTTGATATGTATCCTCCCTAATGTGCGAAGCACAGCTGTATTGTCATTTGCTTCCTCTGTGCACAGAATTAAACTTAGTAGTAGTTTATACATTTTAAAATACAAGTTGCATTAAAGGATATTATTTTTTTAAATAAGGAGCATCTTTTCCCCTTACACTAAGTCTCAAGCGCCCCATCACTGAGAAGGCACAGAATCAGCTCTTTAGCAGATTAAGCAAACAACTAAGTGCCCATTCTCTCTTGTGTCAAAGATATTACAGTGAAATTCACTGAAATAGTCTAAGGCAACGGTTCTTAAACTGTGGGTCAAGACCCCATTTTAATGGTCACCAGGACTAACGTTAGACTTGCAAGGGCCTTGGGTTGAAGCCAAAGCCTGAGCCCCTCACCCGGCTCAGGCTTCAGCCCCTTCTCTCCCACCCCCGGGGTCATGTAGCAATTTTTGTTGTCAAAAGGGGGTCGCAGTGCAATGAAGTTTGAGAACCGCTGGTCTACACTACACAGTTAGGTCGACATAAGGAAGTTTATGACGACTTAATTATATCAGTGTCTACACTACAGCCTTCCTCCCACTGAAACAAGTGCACTACTACATTGACATCGTAACTCCACCCTCCCCAAGAGGCTTAAGGCTTTTGTCGGTGTAGTTAAGGTGACAGTGTCTGTGTAGACACTGCGCCCTTGCATCTGCTGTCTTGTCAATTTCACTGCAGGAGCCATGAAATTGACAAGAAACCAAGGCTCCCCTGGGATCTGGGGCAACTTTGGACCCTGCTCCTGGCAGGGAGCTGGGGTAACTTCAGACCCCGCTCCTGGCTGGGTACTGGGGCGAGAAGCGCCCCGCCCATTCCCCGGTGGTCAGAGGCCCTGGCTGATTCCACCTGCTCCTGGTGAGGAACAGGGAGAAGGGGGGAAGCCCACTGGAAGCCCATGGAAGACCAGGCTCTCAGCTCCCCACACTGCCCCTCTGAGGTCAGTGGAAGCTCTCCTGGTGAGGACACACACCACCAACACAAGGAGGGTAGTGTGGACATGCACCACCGCAGGTTTGTATTGTAGATATAAGTTAAGGGAAGTGAAAGTCCCTTTAAACACTAGATTGCCTAAAGCACTAGAAAATGGTGCAGGGAATTGGCAGGAGAATAGAAAAAGTGATGTAATAGGTCTTTTCCAATTCTGCCTTTGATTATTTTAATGGAAAAGCTCACCAGCTACAAAAGGCCACCACGCTAGTTCAGATATTGAGTTCATTTTAAAAGTGTTAATGAATCCTGGGCTTGAAGCAGGAATTACTGGGTATAATTCTATGGCCTGTGTTGTGTCAGACTAGATGATCATAATCTTCCCCTGTTGCATTAAAACTCTATGAATGCACAAAGTGGAAGAAAGAATATATGGAAGAATGACAAATGGAATTGTTTTCTGGTAGTCTTAAAAATTTAGAAAAGAGGATGCTTTATCTGACTTTTTCTGTTACCAATTTAAAAGGAACAAGATTGCAAGTAACTGAAATCCTAGAAAATCCTCTGTGGATACATAATTCAACTATTCTATGTTTACAAGAAAAAAGTGGAAGCTACAATTCTAATACCTTCAAGAAGATGAGCACCAAAATCCTTCCACTTTATAAAGAAAACCCACATTTTTCAAGCAATCAGATGGTTGATAAAGGCAGAAAGGCTTTACTACTACCATACCACGTATTTTCTGGATTCCTCACACATACACGATAAAGACAGAATCCTTAAAGTTGCCTGTAAAGAAAGTGATCTGATAGGAAAAAAGCTCCTACTGTATTTCTCTGGACTCTGAACCAATCTCAGAGTTTTGCATAATATACAAGAGAAAAATACTGAGAAGCTTACCGCCTCTGAACTAAACTTTCCTTGACAAGAAAAATAAAGCTGCAAGTTTGCTCCAAAGAAAGCTGAGCCAGCTACATTGACATACTTATATATTTTTGGGGCAGACTGCTATAACCCTGTTGGATAAAATCTGAGCTACAGTGACAGTTTTATTAGAACGGGGCTCTAAATAAATACTGATTACCAAGGAAGTATGTTTCTTCTAAACTGATTTATTTGGGTCAAACACTGAGCTTAGTGATTTACTATGTTACTAGAATCCCACCTTTTATCAGTGTCTGGCGTCTTCAGCTCTTCAAGGAAGAGACACTCTCTGTAAAAACACCTAGCACATTTTGGGTGCTATCACAGCACAAATAATAATTACAAAACGATTAAACAATTCAGTCAAACTAATTGTTTGACTGAAAGCTACATTTTGATATGCCGTGGTTATAATGAGCAGTTTGACTTGTTGTGTTAAGTTAGGTAGCAAATTTTACACTATGTGCTGATTTCCTTCTGTAAAAGGTAAACTTTGTGATAAAGCTCTTAACAGGTCGATTTCTCTTGGCCTTTGTACTGGACACACACTAAATACTTTGTGGTGTACACAGGGTGATCAGACAGCAAGTGTGAAAAATCGGGATGGGGTAGGGGGTAATAGGAGCCTATATAAGAAAAAGATCCAAAAATCAGGACATCTGGTCACCCTAGGTGTACAGCAGAAGATGTTTTACCATTATACAAGTGATTGCACATCTTTCTTGACATCTTCCATTGACGGTATAATCCAATAAATGAAATTTAACTTCTTCATTGCTGAACAGCTTGTTCACACGTGCAAAACAAGAGTGTATGAGACACATCCCAATAAAGGGATTATAGAGTGCTGATGCCCACCCCAAATCCTGTACTTCTTCCCTCTCCTTCCCTATTACTAGGCACATAGGTCAGCTCTACACTACAGTGGCATAGCTATGCCCCTACAGCGCTGTAGTGCAGATGCCTCCTGTATGGCGGGAAGGGGGTTTTCCGTCATTGTAATTAATCCATAGGTGATTGGAAGACTTCTTCCAGCAGCGACCGAGCCATCTCAACACCCTTAGTGCGTGACACTGCGTGACATTGCTCGCAGCCTGGAGCGAAACAGTGAGGTCAAACTAGTCTTTAGTTGCAATTAGGCCTTAGGTTAGAAATCGGGATTGCCGCTGGGCGCTCGCCCCCCGCCGGAGCTGCTCACCCCAGGCTGAGCGGGGGATCGTGCAGCAGCGGGGGAGGTGGATCTGAGTGCAGGCGGAGGGGGAGCAGCGGGAGGACGCCCCTCAGCCCGGTGTAGGTGTGAGACTCCAAGCTCCCTAGAGCCGAAACGCAACGGGAGCGACACGGCGGCGGGTAGCGCCCCCTCCCGCAAAGCGGCTGCTCTCAGCGCGGCCCGGGCTGGCTGACCCCATCCCCGCCCCCATGGGCCAAGCAACAGCAGCCGCCGCCGCCCGGGGCAGGGGCCAGCAGAGAGCGCGGGGGGCAGGGCAGGGGAGGGGATCCCCCGCGCCCCGCCGCTACCTTCCCAGACGGTGTCCGCGCCCCGGCGCTGCAGGAACTTGTACCAGAAGGTGCCCGCGGCCTCCTCGTCCGGCAGCGCCGCCTCCGCCAGCCACAGCGCGGGCTCCTGGGCGGGGAGCGGGGCCGCCGGGCGCGCGGGCCTCATGGGCAGCGCGCGCTGCGGGTCCCAGTGGCCCAGCTCCGGCCGCGAGCCGGCCACCATGAGCGCCTCGGCCAGCCCGGCCGGCAGCACCACCCCGAAGCGGAACAACATGGCAGCGGCCGGGCCGCTCCTAGCCGCGGGGAAGGTGAATAAGTCCCCGAGTGATTTAGCACCTCCCGGCCGCCAGGGGGACCACACAGCCCCAACGTACTTCCGGGTTATGTCATCATCACGTAAACGCGTGGCACGCTGGCAAACGGGTGCGAGGCACGAAAGGGGCGGGGAGATAGCACGTGACTCGTAGAACCACGGGGCGCCGCGCCGCGCCTTATGCGCATGCTGGGAATGTGGCTGTGAGAGGGTGGAGGGCGAAGGAGAAGAGAACCCCTGGGCGGCGGCGGGGCAGGCTGCTGAGCGGTGCGGAGCCCTGTGCGCTGTCACCGCGGGGAGCGGCGCTGGGCACGCGGGTCAGGCGCTGTCGGAGCGCAGTTTAGCTCTGTGAAATTGTGGCTGCTGCCAGCCCTGTCTGCAACACATCCTGAGCTGCAGCCTTCTCTGTGGCGGTGGGTGATTGCAACCGGCACCCACCCCCCGGGGAGGGCGAACACCTACCTCACTCTGGGAGAGTTCAGCCCCAGCACTCACTACAGTGGAGAAGTTATCAACAGACTGGGGCCGCAACAGGCACAACACAGTTCAGCTCTGCTCATAACGATCACCTTTACTAGCAAACCGGTAAAGGACAGAGAGACCAATACAGAGCGTCTAGTATTTGCATTACTTGCATGCTATCTTCTGGAAAAATCCTCTGTTAGTCATCATCCACACCATTGTTGTGATCCTGCCAAATCCCCCTCAAGGCACGCAGGTTGGGATACAGCTTTTGTAATGTGTTAGGTTCATATATATCGGGGTCGGCAACATTCGGCACGCGGCTCGCCAGGGTAAGCACCCTGGCAGGCCGGGCCAGTTTATTTACCTGCTGACGCGGCAGGTTCGGCCGATCGCGGCCCCCACTGGCCGCGGTTCGCCGTCCCAGGCCAATGGTGGCGGCGAGAAGCGGCGCGGGCGAGCGATGGGCTGGCCGCGGCTTCCCACCACTAGGGTGACCAGACGTCCCGATTTTATCGGGACTGTCCCGATATTTCCTTGTTTGTCCCGCGTCCCGACCGACGTGCGGTCGGGACACTGGACAAACAAGGAAATGCGCCGGAGCCTGGAGCCCGGAAGTGCTCGCGCCCCCCCCGCCCCGACCCCGCCCCCTCCTCCCCCGATTGGCTCCCTCCCTGAATCCCCGCCTCTTCCCCGGGCTCACCATTCCTCCCCCCTCCGCAAGCTCTGGAAGGAGGCCCGGGAGACTCAGGGGAAGCGAGACTCAGAGGAAGCGCGGGGCCGGGGTGAGTGAGAGTCCGGCCTGGCCCCGAGCAGGCAGGACTCAGTTGGGTGGTAGGGAGAGGAGGGGGGCGGCGGCTGTTCTACCCCCCGGGCAGCGGGACTCGAGAGCAGCCGCTGCTGCAGCTCCCACTGCCACAGGGGAGGAAGCGGCCATGGCGCTCAGCGGCTGCGGCTCTGGCGCCCCCGAACCCTCCGGGCCTGCTGCAGGGACCCAGCAGCGCGCACGCTGCGCCCAGCCCCTGGCCTGTCGCGTCTGGGCTGCTGCCCAGCTGGTGCTATCGCGCGGCGGCCCCGGGGTGGAGGCATCGGCAGCCCAGCCCCGTTCGTTCCCCTGCGGGACCCGAGCGGGATGGG